CTGTACCTGAGCACTCTGCACACGGGGACAGAGCACTGCTCTTCTGCAAGGCAAGCAGAGCCCACGAGTCCCGCTCCGGGCAGCCACTCCGCGGGGGAGAGCACAGATTAGAGGGTCAGCTGCTGACAGTCTCTATCCACCTTTCTGGGGAGAGTTATGTTGGTAATTTTAATCTTATTAAATATTGCTAATCGTATTACTAACTTAACTCTTTTCACATGTTGGAAGAAATTTAAAGAGAAAATTCCATATATGACCACCCGACGTTATAGGCCCTCTAGCCAAATCTCAATTCAGGATGAGTCCCTTGCTCACGAATTCCAGCTCTGCTGCGTCCCGGTGCGACGAGTGCAGGGGCAGCCTGGCCGATCCCGGCTGCCTGATGCTGGCTTCCCTTCCACATCTCTTATTTGCTCCAAAACCTGCTTTCCTTCTCCTCTGCAAGGCTCTCAAAAGAGTCCTATAAAACTCACTTAATTCCACGCTCACTTTGCAACCAGCCTCTCAATGAGGCGGAAAGCGCGATGTCCCCATCGGGATGCACAGCACAACAGCCCAGCACGAGAGCTCGGCGTATCAGCTCCCTCCTGGTACAGGACGAGCACCTCCGTCACCAGCTTAGCTGCCAGCGTCACATGCACAGGGACATCATTAATGTAACGGCCATTGATTTCTGCATTTAACACGCAAGACAACACAGCACTTGCGTGACCTCCACGCGCAGAGCACAACCCTACCTTGCACAGAACGGGGTGCTTGCTTATCAGAACCGTGTCCCTGCCGTTGTGTGACACCGGGGACGGCAGCCGGGACGCTCGCAGGGCTTCGCTCGCGCGGCGGCAATGCAAAGTTCAGAGTTGCAGATTTGGGGAACGTCTGCACCGACGTGCCCAGAAACGCACCTGTTTGGGCTCCCTCGGACTGCGCGCAGGGAGCAGGTTCGGGGGGAAAACCGCGGTCTCGGGAACAACAGGGCACGACCGTACGGGCAGCAAAGCGAGAGCCGGGGAAGCGGGAGCCCCCCCGGAGCCCAGCGCGCCGCGCTGCCCACAAGCCGCTTTCCAAGGCAGCTTCTGCAGCTGCTGCATGAAGAAAACCCCCCGAAGGGGCGGAAGGAGCCGCGGGGCGCAGCCCCCGCCGGGCTCGCGGTTCAAGCGCCTGCGGGCTCGGCC